TATTTCGTCTAAAGGGAGAAGCCTGTGGGTGATCAACATTAAACAGACCACCTCAAGAAAAAAAAGACACCTCTCCACTGGCTTATCCAAACAGAACAACTGTGAGAGATGCTGCAGCATGGACCTAGTGGCCGTGAGATTGTGCAGTTCCCATCAAAAAGCAGAATCCATTTCTCCACGTGGAATCAATGACAGCCTTGCAACTTGTGATCAAATATAGTAGAAGCACTATTTGAGATCCAGAGCCAATATTTTACAATGGCGTCTAACTCCTTCCCTCTTCAAGCACTACCCTGAGACCACTATGAAAGGTAACCAACCAATCCAGCCCACCACATTAGGAAAACCACCAAGAAGGCATCCAGATAGCAGTACCATCTGCCAAGTCCATAAAAGAAGCCATCTTAAATCAGCTCGCTCAACCGGACCACATAGTGATCCGGGTAAAAACAGCAAAGGAGCCACTCGGCCTACCCACGGGACCTTGGCAAATGACAAATCACTATGGCTTTTAATAATTACATTTGAGACAGTGGTATACAATAACAGAAGACAAAAATAGATGGGAGGGTTAAAATACATAACAAGAAGTCTTTTTAAATTTCTTCTCTTTTAGAAATCTGGGGGGTATTAGTCAAGCTCTTGACCAAGCTTTTCCTTCCACACATGCATGGCAATGTCACCATACATAGAGCTCTTGCTGCAGATCTGCCATATGAGGATGGCAGTAAATGCCCTCACTTAAGGATCTCTTTGAATTTTTACTGACTCCGTTTCACAGGGTACCTTGTCTGAACAGCAACAAGGATTTTAGATGTTTTATTATACTGTCATTAGGTCACATTTCCTCCCTGTTATGAGTGCTATGATTGGGGAGTCAAGTCTGGAAGAGTGCTAATGTGGCATACCCAGAGAGAGAGAATGGAAATGGGTGATAGCAGAGAGGAGGGAGCAATACTCCTCTCCCTTGGCCTATGCCGAAGGTCTAATTCAGGGGAGAGGAAGTGTGGGTATTTGTGGTGGTTAACCTACATTTTTAACTTCACTGAGTTTAGAATCACAGTGGAGAGACAACTTTGGGTGTGCCTATAAATGTGTTTCCAGGAAGGATTAACTTAAGAAGGAAGGTCCAGTTTGTGTAGAGATGGAGATATCCCATGGCCTGGGGTCCCCAACTGATTGAAATCAGAAAAAGATATGAGCACCAGCATTCATCTCTCTCTGCTTCCTCACTGTGGACTCAATGAACTGGTTACTCCTGCATCCCGACTATGAACACAATGAACCCGCTACTTCTGCAGCCACGTCTTTCTCACCAGGGTGGACTACATCCTCAAATGTGAGCCAGAAACAACACATCCTTCCTTAAGCTGTATTTGCTTGGTATTTTGTCACAGAATGGAAAAACAACTAATAGGAGATTGTTTCGCCTATAATTATTGTTATCGTCTTGGTTAAGTTTGGTTTGGGTGTTATGGCTCTGGAGATGAACCTAGTGCCTTACAAAAGATAAACAAATACTCTCCCACTGAGCTATGTCCCCAGCATGAAAGTCTAACATTGAGAGGAAAGAGATGATGCCAAAAGCTGAAGGAGAGAGGCTAAGCCTCTAGATGCTTTAGAGGCCAGGAGGGAGGCCTAGCTGGTGGTCTATCTTCTCTTCCTTAATCTATCCCACACTGCCATGCATACAGAGAACCACCCACTTCCTCAGACTGAAGGAATATGATTTAGTGAAGTCTCATTCTCAATGAAGACCCAGTCATCCTGTAAGTTCCTCTGGAAAGCCAAAACACTGTAAGTGCATCCCCTCCAAAACCAAAGCTACCATTTTAGTAGAGATTATGTAGAGATCAGTAGAGACTGATAGAAATGCAAATATTCTCTTCCCCCATCTCTGCAAAGAATTGTTTCTAAGACAACCCCCATCACTTGGATGGCAAAAACCCTCAGGTGCTATAGTCCCTTCTGTAAAATGGCATAGTGGGGATTGGAGCAATAAAGAGTACTGGTTGCTCTTAAAGAGAGCCAGGGTTTGGTTCCTAGCATCCATATGACAGCTCAGAACATTCTGTATCTCCAATTCTAGAGGATATGACATCCTCTCCCACCTTTTGCAGGCACACAAGTGGTGCACATATATACATAAACAAATGTAACATGATGAGGGATGTCCTTCTGTATGCTGTGAATATATGTTTCTCTTACTGGTTGACTAATAAAGCTGCTTTGGCCAATGGACAGACAGAATTTAGCCAGGCAGGAAGTATAGGTGGGGTGACCAGACTAGGAGAATTCTGGGAAGTGGAATGCAGAGAGTGAGTTGCAAGAGACACCATGTAGTACCAAGGAAGCAAGAGGCTCGGGCATCACAGGTAAGCCAAGACCACATAGAGATACACAGATTAATAGAAATGGGTTAATAATTAAGAGATAGCTAGCCAGGAAGAAACCCAAGCCATCAGCCAAACAGTTTATAATCTGCGGCGTCCACCCTTGACCAGCAAGAAAGACGCCACACCGAGGAATCTTCTTCAAACACAGTTTAATCGGGAACCTCTTTGCTTTGTACAATGTATAATGGTGGCGGCAGCGGCCCCGGGCCGAGGGAGACGGGGCCTGATGTAGTCTACATCTACCAATCACCTAACCCTACGTGGCGCGCCAGGATAGGTTGTCTCCAAGCAGAATTAAGAGGATACATGACCTTTGCCTAATTTGGAGTTGTTTACCACAGAGAGCGCTCGCCGTCGGGCTGGCGGAGGGCGGAAACCGGCGCCATCTTTTGGGTGTGGTTTTCTGCAGCTCCCTACAATAATCAATGTAAGTGTCTGTGTGTTTATTTGGGACTAAACGGCTGGAGGACCAGGTGGGACAGAAATGTCCATCCACAGTAACACATCTTTGCCTAATTAAAATAATAACCCACAACCTGGAATGCCTGAATGTGGAGGGCCAACAGACATCCATAAGTACATTTATAAACATCACAGACAAGGTTACAGGAAACAACCATTTTCCCAATTCAGCTACTTTTTTGTGACATCATCCTGCACTTAGTTCCCTACAGCCAAGCCTTTAGTCTGACCTTAAGGACATGTGGCATCAACAAATTTTAGCTGCACAATTTGACAATTTGGTAACGTCTGATAACATTGTGGAAAATCTTTCCGTGTGCCCCAGCAGTTCACTTTCAGGTATACACCCTGTAGAAAAGGGTTCTCACATGGGTCTCAGCAAAGATGTGCTTTCCAGAATGTTCTATTGTAAGGAAAACATGCTTTTAAAACATTTAAGCTAAGTAAATTAGGGTTTATTTGTACACTGTGGTACAATGGAGAAGCTAAAATGATTGAATTAGATCTGCTAGCATCAACATGGGTCAATTACAAAAAAAATTTTTTTAAAAAATTAAGTATAGGAGTTGAATATATAGCTCATTGGTAGAGTGCTTGTCTAGTAGTAGAAGTCCTGGGTTCTATTCCCTGTACCACACACATCCTTAACTACATAGTGAATTGTGGGGTTGAAGCTTTAAAGTGTGCATGTAGAACAGTGGTTCTCAACCTGTAGGTCATGACCCCTTTATGACCATCAGAAATATCAGATGTGTACATTATGACCTATAACAGTAGTAAAATTACAGTTATGAAGTAGCAATGAAACTAATTTTACGGTTGGAGATCACTACAACATGAAGAATTGTATTAAAGGGACAAAGCATTGGGAAGGTTGAGAACCATGATGTCAAATATAGCACATGGGTTAATAAGAAAAGTATACCCCCCGTACCCCACCCCCGCCCAAAATAGCACATACTCTTCCAACAGAGCAAAAGAAATTCTGATGAACAAGGAACATGTATCATAATGTTATGATGCTAATTCCCTCCAAAGGGGAAGAAAAAGAAGAAAGTGGAGGATAGAATGATAGACTACATAACTATACCACCACATGGAAAGGGAAAGGGGAGAGAATAAAGACAGAAAATGCTAATCTTGAAAAAAGCAATTTTTTATTAATTCAAGTTAGGCTTGTTTCACATGTAAGTCCCTTCTCCCTCTCCCTCTCCCTCTCCCTCCCCTCACCGCCATCCTCCTCCCCCTACCACCAACCTACCCCCCACCCCACCCACCCACCACTCCCCAGGAAGGGTAGGGCCCTCAACAGGGGCTCTGCA